GGCAGACTAGGTGACAGGCCTGGCTCCAACCCCGAAAAGCTCTCGTAGTCCAGTCGACGTGCGGATTATGTCGATGCAGCCAGGGGTATCCCAGAATGAGGGGGATGCGAGGGGTTTGCAGGATGTGGAAGCTGATGGTCTCGTGGTGGTTGCCGGATAACAGCATGTGTACCGGAAAGGTTTGGTGCGTCACCCTTCCCAGAAGATGACCGTCCAGGGCGCTGGCTGAAACAGCCTGTGGAAGAGGTATCCGGTCGATTCCCAACTGGGTAACAAGGTCCTCGTCCATAATGGACGCGTCTGCTCCAGAATCCAGGAAGGTGGAAATAGTATGAGAGCCCCCGGTTAATAGTAGTTGGGCATGGAAAAGTAGTCGTTGACAGGCGGAGGATCGGGAATCTGCTCGACTCTCCCGTACCTCCCTCCTTACTGGCGAGCCCGGCCTTTTAACGGGCAATTGTGAGCATAATGACCCGCCTGACCACAGTACATGCAGAGGTTTCCCCGTCTGCGTCACTCACGTTCCTCCGTGGATAGCCCAGTACGTCCCAATTGCATGGGTTCGCTCTCCTGAGGAAGCGGCTGCGTCGGCAACAAGATTGCCCCTGACTTGGCTGTCAGGGTTAGGGTCAGGAATGCATTGCAACCCTCAGGATCCCCAGCGTAACATTCGCGCTCCCCCACCCGGGGCTCTGAGACCGCCATAGATACTGCTGGACCCATTCCCGACTGAACCGGAGCAAGTAGCGGCGACGCCGCCATGTTGGTCGGAGCTGTGGCTGCCGTGAGTTGTCGTACCTGGTCTATCAACGTAGTGAGAATCTGGTTCTGATTCACCAGGTTGTGGCAAACCTCGGCGGTGTTGGTGACCACCATGGTCTCAGTTCGCCGCATCGCCTCCTCGATCACCTCGAGCCAGCCATGCCGTGGCACCGTCTGCTGGATCCATGTTCTGGCCAGATCGTACTGTTACGGGTGTAGTAAGGACCCAGGAGCAGTACGACAAACACCAGGAATAGTTTGACTTGAACTCTTTATTTTCTTCAACACACACGACAGGAAGAATATTCTCAGGAAAACAGCGACAGGTTCTCGTGGTCAAGGACAGAAGGCTGAGCGAGTTACCAGGGCAGAGGCAAGACGAGGTAGTCCGAAACAGGCAGGGTCGGCAACAGGGAATCAGTCCAAGGGTGTATGCGGGAAAGTATTGCATGAAAGCAGAGAACGATCTGGCAGTGAGTGTGTGTGAGGCAGGGTTTTAAATAGTGGAGGAGGCAGAGTGAGCAGGTAAGAGTAATGAGCTGATGAGGTGAGTGTGACTAGCAGGTGCACTGAATGAACTGATTAGGTGAGTGAGAGGTGGAAAAAACTAGATAGAAGTGGCAGAGCTGTGACAGAAGGTAAGTATTTAGAAGGATTCAAACAGCAACAGGAAGTCAGTGCACGGTGCAGTGGAGAGGGGTAATGTAGGAGAACTTGGGTATGTTGACGACCAGCCAGGCTGCTGCATTCAAGATGAGCTGCAGAGGTCGGATGGGACCTGCAGGCCCACCAGCCACAAGGATGTTGCCGTAGTCCATACGTGAGATGACAAGAACCTGACACAGTACCTGCACTAGTGATGGCGAGATGAAGCTTCATGAAGCATTGAAGCTTTCCATCCAATTGGTTCACACATGGGTCGAAGCGTCATGGTGCTTCATTTGCTCTACTGCGCCATCAAGTGGACAATAAATGTAAAACAGGCAGAGTGATTAAAATGACATCATAGCTTTGGTGTGTGAAGCATTGAATTGAATAAATGAATGAATGATGTTTGTGATGTGTGATACATAACTTATGAAGTTATTAATATGGTGTCTGTCTTTATGATACAATGGCGGGGTCAAAAGGGAAAGTGGAAACAAATTGGGGAGAGGGTTGTGATGTGAAAAGTAAAAAAAAAGTTAAAGTTAGGATTTTATTGTCATATACATATACGAAATTTGACTTCTGCATTTAACCCATCCTTAGCTTATTGGGAGCAGTGGGCTGCTGAGAAGCGCCCAGGCTTCAGCAGTTAGGGGTTCAGTGTCTTGCTCAGGTACAAGTCGGCATAAAATATGTAGAAACTAAGGATCGAACCACCGATCTTGCTGTTACCAGACAACTCTCCCCATTGAGCCACGGCCTAATGTGCTTCTGTAACGTGGTTTGTGACTGTGATTATGTTACTAGGGACAACATGTAACACGTAAAACATTTTATTCATTTTTATTTAAAAATATCAACTTTTCCACAGTGCTGAGCTTATTATGAGAGATCAGATCAAAATGTTCCCAGACAGGGGAAAAATCTCCTCTTTCTTGCTGGTTCCATCGCAGAAAAAAGAAGCTTGAGTAGTTTGTAAACAAATGCGCAATAAAGTCCTAAGTACACAAAATGTGACCGGGGATCCATTGCATTTCGCTGCCCCTTTTATTTCAAATCGCACGCCAAACCCGTGAACCATTTCCTGAATCAGTCACGTGGTGCGGCTGGTTCGTGAGGCTTCGAATGTCACCACATACATCATCGACACAAGCCTCGATACGCGCTTCATCAAAATCTTCCTGGATTACTCGACACAAGCTTCGAAGCATCGACACAAAAGGTCACATCACTAACCTGTTGAATCCTACTTGAAGGACCGAGAATACTTTGTGTCTGTAGCTAATTACACATCAGAGCTGACTAAAATGACATGTGGTGTTCCCCAAGGTTCAATACTGGGGCCTCTTCTGTTCAACATCTACATGCTTCCTCTAGCTCAGATTATGAAAAACAACAAAGTGTGTTATCATAATTATGCAGACGACACACAAATCTACATAACTATGTCACCAGGGGACTATAATCCCATACAAGGGCTGGGTAACTGCATTGAACAAATCAACAACTGGATGTGCCAGGATTTTCTTCAATTAAACAAAGATAAAACGGAAGTAATTGTTTTTGGTACCAAGGACGAACGATTGAAAATCACCGCTCAGCTTCAATCACTGATGTTAAAACCCACAAACCAAGCCAGAAATCTGGGTGTAGTTATGGATTCAGACCTCAACCTGAACAGCCATATTAAGACAATTACAAAATCAGCCTACTATCACCTGAAGAATATATCAAGGATTAGAGGACTTATGTCTCAACAGGATTTGGAAAAACTTGTCCATGCATTTATCTTCAGCAGACTGGACTACTGTAACGGTGTGTTTACAGGTCTCTGTAAAAAGTCATTCAGAACGCTGCAGCTCGAGTCCTCACTAAGACCAGGAGGGTGGATCACATTACTCCAGTTCTGAGGTCTTTGCACTGGCTTCCTGTCAAACAAAGAATTGACTTTAAAACCCTGCTGTTGGTTTATAAAGCACTGAATGGTTTAGGGCCTAAATACATCTCTGAACGGCTGCTACCTTATGAACTATCCCGACCCCTTAGGTCGTTTGGGACTGGTCTACTTTCTGTTCCCAGAGTCAGAACTAAACATGGAGAAGCAGCTTTCAGTTTTTCTGCTTCACATATCTGGAACAAAGTCCCAGAAAGCTGCAGGTCTGCTGAGACCCTCAGCTCCTTTAAATCAAGATTGAAGACTTTTCTGTTTGCTGCTGCCTTTAATTGAACCAGATTCAATTAATATATTCATCAATTTCCTGCATTTCTGCATTTTACTACTGTATTTTATTTCTTACACTGTTTTTATTGTTTCAATGAATGTTCTTAATTGTTTTTAAATCTCCTTGTCTTTTGCCTTATGTTTTGATGCTTTTAATGGTTTTATGTGAAGCACTTAGAATTACCTTGTTGTTGAAATGTGCTATACAAATAAACTTGCCTTGCCTTGCCTTGCACCGCCTCCTGGGTCAGGAACTGACTTATCCTTCCGATGTCTTGGAGAATAAATCTACAGCGAGAGTGAGTTGTTGGAGAGATGTTGGCAGAGGACAGCGGTCAACAAAAAGCAAGACCCCCTCTCTCACCCCCTCTCCTTCCATTCATTAAACTAAACTACGGAACAGCATATATCCCCATTGCCGTCCCCAACACCACGTGACTCAATTACCGGACGTGACATAAAAGGGTGTACAAAATGACACAGGCCATACCTGGCTCCTACATCCACTAAGCCTCAACTGGCAGGCCACAGCTGCGGTGCAGGAATGAGTGGGGGCATCCAGCTTTGGATGACCTAAAAGTTTAGGTTAAATACATCAGTCTGGTGCACTTTCATTGCTAAATTAAGAGGTTTGATCTTTGAAGAAGTTTGTGCTCTTGTTAACAATTTAATCATAAACACATTGGTTGTATGGATATGAATGGTGATGACACAGCATAAAGCATGGTAAACAAAATGGGGTCCGCATTTGAAGATGGGTCGGGTGGGTTGTCGACATCGCTGCAGACCCTGATGCACTGAGGACCATGTTTAGTTGAGCTGAGATCTGGTGACTGTGAAGGCCATAGCATATGATTCACCACATTTTCATGCATATTATTCCCTCGCCAGCTTTTCCTTGCAGCCTGGAGGAACAGCCACTATTACAGCCTGGTCAGTCAGTGCTGTCCTGCTGCTATGCAATGATCAATTAAACATCACAAAAATGAGACTTTTAAACAGTGACGTGACCGAAAATGTTGTAAAAAAGCCGTGAAATAGTTTCTGTGATGGATTCATTTGAGCTGGAAAGCCTTCTGTCAACCTTACTAGACTCCTCCGTGTTGTTAGCAAAGACACAACTGGTGAAATTGTTTTTATTCAGTTCTTGACCAGAAAGTACAAAATATGAAGTAGTATCTGACGCTGCCGTTGCTTACTCTTGCTAGACCAAACCAAGGAGACAAAGGCCATAACCCTCTCTCCGATGTGATACTGGGATGATAGTGTATAGTATATATACTGCCTTATTTTATATATCTTGTGTGTTGTCTATGTTATACAGTATATTAAACATCTTGTGTTATTCTGTATCCTCTCTCTGTCTCAGGCTGTCCACAACCCAGAATGTAAACAGTTCATATTGTGTTGGCTCTCCGAAACAGTACCAGCTCTGTCCAAACCAGGTATGATGCTACATTGATGTTGATACCATAACAATGAGTACTCCATTGAGTCCTCAACCATAGAATACAGAGGTAAATGGAAGAAATTAGTAAGAAAAACTAACAAAGTCTTTAAAGAGTAACTTCTGTATTTTTCAACACTCAGCTAAACTTTCTGTAGTCTAAAGCAACAAACTCTGCCTCGCCGGCACTCACGTTTCGACTGTTGTCCTCCAGCAAGCGTCACCATGCGAGATTTCAGAACAAGACTTTTCCTTGACAAAGACTCTCCATAATGTTGTCAGACACTTATAACGATCTGAGCCTCTCAGTGACCAAAACACACATTTTTAGTGGACGTAAATGACGGAGCCAGCTTGCCCCGATATGATTAACCTGGAGCCTACAGAGCCTTCGCTCAATACTGGACCAATTACAACAATTGTTGTCTCTTTTAGTCAGCTGGACACAAAGACATGGGGAAATAGGGTCCAGGTTGAAATATAACAAAGTCACTCTTTAAGATGCAGGTATCTTTTTCTGTATGTGTTTGTGTGTTTCGTTGTGGTTTTTCAGCCCTGTCCCAGCCCCACTGTGAGCTTCAAACAGCACCAGTGTTCCCAGTTCAATTCTAAAGCCTTTGGAAGAAGATACTACCAGTGGATACCTCTTTACCCTGGTATGATATCAATCTATGGTCTTCGTCTTTCTTCCAGTCTGTCAGGTATCAATCTTGAACGCAGTCGAGGCCTCCCTCCATACTCTTCTAGCTATCTCTGCTGGACATTAACATTCACACCGTCTTGAATAAATGAAAGTCAATTGTTAAAAAATTGTCAATCTTCTGATAATCGTTGAGTTTATATGATATGTCAGTCTTACTAAGTCCAGCAAATGTGAAAGATTGACTTTAACAGGTGGTCGATGAGTTAAAGCTGCACAAGGCAACATTACATGTGGCCAATCCCAAATGATAACCACATGTAACTCAATTGGTTTTGTAAACTTCATTGCACAGTAATCCTTTAATCCATTATGATGGATCCATTATGATGTCACTAAATGAAATGTCTTTTGAAACATGTAATTCCCTGTGTAGCTGATTACATCAGCATCTCCAATAAGCCATGTGACCTGCAGTGCACAACCATCAGTGGTGAGAGACAGCTGCTAGTCCCCGCCCACGATGGTACATTCTGCCACGATGCCAAATACCATGGAGTCTGTATAGAGGGAATATGTCAGGTAACCCGACAAGAAAATTACATGTTATTTTTCTGTAATAAATCATTCATGATTTTACTCTCATTCATAGCGAATGCTTCTTGTTGATGAGAAACACTGTAAGAGTGATCCTCTGAATGTGTCCAGCCTGTAGGTTGTGATGGGGAGCTGTACGGCAGTAAGACGGTAGACAGATGTGGAGTATGTGGAGGCAACGGGACGTCTTGCCAGCGCATCTCTGGATCATACAGGAAGGCACTCACACAGTTAGGTAACACACACACACCAGTAGACAGATGTGAATAGAAGTATTCATTATGAAGCATTATCATTAATGTCTGGTGTTGAATTTGGTTACACTGGCACAACACTAAATTCTCTGGATTCACATTCTAATTTCTGTTTCACTGAAAGTCAGCTGCTGTTTTAACTGGGCCCTCAGAAACCCTCTCATCAAGTTCTACTGTAGTCATTAATCACAGGATATCTTAACATACTGGCGGGATGACAATGTTATAGCTTCACACAGAATTAGCCCTTTTATTTAGTTCATTTTTAGTCTACAAAAACTTGTTAGATTTTTAAGTCTTGCCTTAATCAAAGAACAGCATGAACAATTCAGTCTAGTTTTAGTCAAGACCAAGAATGAGTCTTTTAAACTTCAGAAGAACTGGTTTCAATGATTTATTATCCATTTGATTTTAGGCAAAAAGAACTGGATCTGAAGATGATATGTGTGTTTAAGAATGCAGATTGGGGGTCTGCTCTGATGTTATTCCCGAAGCTTTTGTTTTTGGCCTTCATGTTATATTAGACTGTGTTCTATTCACAAGTGTTTATAATTATGTGTACTACACAGTCAGAATATGGCCTGGAGCCAATCCAGATTTATGTATCAATTATACTGAGCATGATTTATCATAGACACTCCAAATGAAACAAAGGTGTCGTTAAACAAGATGTTGATGTATCCAGTTCAGCCCCTCATATGCAAGCAAGTTGTTATGAGATGCTAGTAAAACATCACATTACACCACCGACATTTGTACTAAAGTTGGTGTAAGTTAAAAAGCAACATTATTAAATCTTATTACCTCCATTTCAGTGTCGTGTGTCATGTTGGTAGCACTCTTCCCAGCAGTATTGTAGCTGCATGGCTTCTCTCTTAACAATGACGTTATTACACACTTCTTCTCAACAAGGCGTTACATTTGAAGAGGGTAGAAAAGGCACAGGAAGAGAAATGTGCAGCCATCCAATGGCAAGGAGATTTGGATTACATGATTGGTTGACAAAAAAACACTTTATGTAATTGATTTATATGAGGTCAGATCAGTCTCAATAATTGCAAATGCACACAGAAAGACTCACAAATGCAAACAGAAAGATTCACAGATGTGCACAGAACAATTCACAAATACATTCCAATGCACACATAAATAAATTACGATTTATATAAATGTTAAAAAAAATCACAAATATATTTCTGCATTTGTATGTATTTCTGTGTGGATTTTTCTATTTGTTTGTGGATTTGTATGGATTTGTTTGTGGATCGCACTGCATTTATTTGTGGGTTTATGAGACTCCCCTGACATCACTAGATTTGCAAATGCCTTTTTTTCAACATTCTCATTTTCAACCAATCACATGAGCGCAGCTCCCCCCTCCCCTCCCCACGAGGCTGCTAGCGTTAGAGTTGCGCAATTTGCAGAAGCGACAGGTCAGAAGTCGAGAAAGGGCAAGCTCAAATCGTGGCAGCGGAAGCTAGCAGAGGCACTTCCTGTTGCAAGCTGCCACTGTTTTGGTGCGGATTCCGCGGTAGTTTAGTCTTTATTTGTCGTTATTTGACATTATGTGAGAATATATTAAGGTCCTTGAAGGTATGACTGTTGGTAGTTGTAATTAGTTTAGTAAAAAAACATGTGATCAGGTTCTTCTTACTGCCTCCCCCAAACTACTGTCCTGTTGAGAGAGACAGGACAAACAGAGAGAAAAAGTTGTATACAAATTGTATAAATATATACATACATATAAATATATTTATATAGATACATACCTACATATACATACATATACTGTATGTATATATATCCAAATCAATAGGTTATATGGGTTGCTATCATTCTAAACAGTACAATGCATATTATCCATGTTTACAATTTGCATTCCTTCAGTCTGCATGAAAGTGTGTATCGTTGCCATGGCAACAAGTACCAACTGATGTTAGCCTACATTAGCTTGCTAATAAAAACGAGTAGCCATACTATTACAATTCGGCCTTTTTTTTACAAAACCAATTACAACTACCAACAGTCATACCTTCAATGACCTTAATGTAGTGTCACATAATGTCAAATAACGACAAATAAAGGCTAAACTACCGCAGAATCCGCACCAAAACAGTGGCAGCTTGCAACAGGAAGTGCCTCTACGAGCTGCCGCTGCCACGATGTGAGCCAGCTCCTACTGCACTACCAGACGCCATTGTTTGCTGACTTCTGACCTCTCGCCTCCGCAAATTGCGCAACTTAACGCTGGCAGCCTCGTGGGGAGGGGAGGGGGGAGCTGCGCTCATGTGATTGGTTGAAAATTAGAACGTTGAAAGAAATGTATTTGCGAATCCAGTGACGTCAGGGGAGTCTCATAAAACCCACAAATAAATGCAGTGCGATCCACAAACAAATAGAAAAATCCACAAACAAATACATACAAATGCAGAAATATATTTGTGATTTTTTTTTTACATTTATATAAATCGTAATTTATGTATGTGTGCATTGGAATGTATTTGTGAATCGTTCTGTGTGCATTTGTAAATCGAATATATTTGTGAATTGTTCTGTGCGCATTTGCAATTATTGAGACTGATCTGACCCCATAGATTTAGTCTTGTTTTTCCTCCATAAAAAAGAGATTTTATGATGGTTTGACTTTTACATTCCATTTTTGTCACCTCTTTGTGCATCAACATAATTCTATGGACATTTAGTCACAGGTATGACCTTTGTTCTGCCAAAGAGGTTGTGTATTCTGTTTCTTTTGTTGATTTGTTTGTCTGTTTGTCAGCAAGATTAGCAAGGTGTAGCATGGCTCGAGAAAGAAACCTATCCCTAACTCCATTTATTTGCACCCGACCGAGTTGAATATGCATCTATAACTCTGGATGTCCAATCAGTGCTGATGTAAATGTAGTCCACTGAAGAAGTCAATTCCCCAGTGTGTGTTTTATTGACCAATAACACTGATCGGTGATGCTGCGGAGCCATGCCGGCTACTTCTGATAAATAAAACATCAATGAAGGAAATATTCTTAGACCTAAACGGAACAAATACAACTGTACACCTTCTGTAATGGAGTTTCTCTTTTTCACCAAACTAAGGCCGGCTTAACTGCCTTCAAAAACACACTGGATAGAAACTAAATAAAACTCACCAAAATCATATCTCTACGCGCTGTATCTCTACGCGCTGTATCTCTACGAGCTGTATCTCTACGCGCTGTAGCTCTACGCGCTGTATCTCTATCTTTCTGAAGATTGTCTCCAGCTTGTCTCCAGCACACTTTTAAGTCCTGTGAGAAGCCTGTTTTCACACTTACTGAACCTTTCTGTTTTATTTCTAAATTATTATTATTCCAGTTTATAGTCGCCGATTGGTTAGGTTAGACAATAAAAATACGTTGTTAGGTTTAGGCAATACAACTACTTGGTTAGACTTAACAAATATACACAAAGCCAAATATATGTGAGCCCAGGTCTGGTGCATGTTTGGCTACCGACTCGTCACTAACAGGTGATTGGTTTTTCATGCTTTGACCACCAAAAAACATTTCTGTCATCGTATTGGGGCCCAGCCTGAACACACAGTATAAAAGCTCAATTATAGTGAGATACCACGATTAAGTGGAAATGTTGGAAAATAGTTTTTTTGTGATTTAGGTGAACTGACCCTGCAGAAGCTGAGGTGGGATTGAGGTTATGCATACTGTTGATCTAAGATTCCTGGTTGTGTCCCACCAGAAACACGTGTTTGAGACATTTAAAACATGTTGATGTCTTTTATTTACTTTAGTACACACATTTGTTACACTGTTCCCTGATGATTCGTTCACTACTGACAATGCCTGTGCCTGTGTGTAAAGTAGATGTTTTTGTCACCAGGTTATGTGTTAATCACCAACATCCCAGCTGGAGCTTCAGACATTCAGATCATAGAAAGACATAAGACTGAGAACATCCTGGGTGAGAACCTACAGCTTCTTTTAGGTCAACACACCGAGTATGAAATCAACAGATGTAAAGCAAAAAAAGTGCCATTGGAACAGTGGTTCTAGAATGTTTTTATTATATATATATATGTATGTATATATATATATATATATATATATATATATATATATATATAGGCCTATAAGCTAAACATGACTTATATTTGTACTGACTGCATAGAGATCATTTGGATCTTTTTTTGTCTAACAAAACAACAACCAGTAACTATATTGTTAGTACCACTATTTTAAAATTGACTAATTTTGGGGGTTTTGAATATTTGCTGTCTTAGTCCCTCCCCCTGATGTGTCCTCTCCTATCTAGCCCTGTCAGATGAAGCTGGTCATTTCTTCTTCAACGGAAACACTGTGTTTGACAATCCACAAAACTTCCATGTGGCAGGAACAGTGATTAAATACCGACGTCCAAGCAACGTATTCTCTGATGGGCTGGAGTATATCATTGCCCAGGGACCAACACTTCAGGGCCTGAATGCTATGGTAGTAAACACACACGGGACAAGTATATGTGTGTCTCATTTTGCTACAATAAAATAATGGGTTCAGTTCCAGTATGAAATATTTAACCTGTGATTTTCTCTTTGGACATGAAGTACTACAACCTGAATGGGAAGCTCCCCCACATCACCTACGAATACACGATCCATCGCACATCTCATGACATCACTACTGCTGAAGACATCACAGCAGGCCCCTCCCATCTCAACCTCACCTATAACGAGGTAGATGAGGATGTCGGAGGGGATCAGCTTAGAGCGACCAATGGGACATCTGTCCATCACTACAACAGCCAGCTGGGAGCTGATGACCAATCAGATGTCCAGCTGCAGGAAGAAGAAGAGGAGGAAGTCATTTGGGCCATCAGGACACCCAGCCCCCTGCCGCCGGCAGACATGTTGGTCTACAGGCCGGCGGATGTCACCAGTCATGTATTCAGCCATAACGATGTCGAGCGAGGACCTCCAGTACCGGCCGGCTACCGTGAGTCACAGATTGATCTGTCTTCTACTAATTGAGCTTTAGACTTTTTTGAAAATGATAACACATTTGTACAGAGAAGCTGCCAATAAACAGGGTTTCAGTGGTGGTTCTTCTATTAATTAGTCAGCTTTGAATGCTATGACCATATTTACTCCATGATTGATTGACAAATAATCAATCATGGAGTAGAAATGGTCATAGCTTTCAAAATCAATGAAGAGATTGTTCTTGTTTCATATATTCAAATGATTGATGATCATATGAAACAGGCTTCTTTGTTTGTTGGAAGCAGAACTGAAGTCCGTCCAACACCTCCAGAGCCAGAGATCGTGACTACTGGCTACTACCACAGCTTTGTTGCACCTAGTTTTATACCGATGTACTCGACACAACATAGCAACGGCTGAGCTGGTGGTTAGCAGCGGTGCTAAAAGTACAACTAGAGCAAACAATGGCAATAGTGCTGACAGAGCAAACAGTGTGAACCAGGGGGAGGACATCGGCATGGTGATGCTGTGGGGCTCAACAGAGAGACTCACGTGCACGGAAATGCACGAGCAGCCGGCCCAGCTATGCACACAAAGCTCAGGGAGGCTCGGGTAACCACACAGAGGGAGACATTAGTGAGCTATATGATACAAGCTATTATGACCATATATCATCCTGGCTAATTCATTGGTCCAGCTCTACTGCAAACCTGACCAATGACAGGGAGCTGGTGTAAAAGTTGCCCCCTCTCATGCTTTCAGAAACAGATCTCTGAGTGCAGGCTGTGTTGTGGGCTCATGTGTCTGTCGGTCTGGCAGTGACGTGTGTGTCTAGCTATTTCTTTCATTTGTTTTTCTGTTCATTAAGGAAGTTCCTCTAACTCCGTTGACGAGCCATCCACTGCTGATGACAACACTGTGCTTGGTAGGAGAGACACATGGAGCCTCACACCTCTTTGTGTTGAGTGTTTGAATATCTTTAGTAAAATAAAACATCAACACATTTCTCTTTTTTATGCTATGATAAACAGGGGTTCATGACAATGGATATGATATTTCTTTCCAATAATATTTGTAGATATTAAAAGAATGATGAGCTGGTGTGAGATGGGCCTCTATGTGCTGATCCTCCACACAAAGGGATGGAATAGAACACAGCCCGACTATCTCCATGCTGTTTAGTATCTGTTTCTTGACTTCTGGCCCCTTTGTAAAGACAAGAGGCCATCAAAATCCCATTCAAACAGAGAAACAATAAGATATTATAGTCTGAACTATATTGCAATAATATCACCGGTACATAACTGTTAATGTCCAAAATATCAGGATGTTTTAAAACCCCTACATTCATTTCTTTCTATCCATTCACAGGTGGTCAGAGTGCCCTGCTACTGGAGGACCTGCATTACAACCACACACACTCCCTCACAAACACACACTCTATGGAAAGGACATTCGCTGATCCACATCCACCAGCACAAACACGCGTGCAAACGTTGTCTGACACAGACACAGAAACACGGTTGGAAATGCTCACAGTTACTGACACACATTCTGTTACACACACAGACACACACACTGCCATCTTGGTACAGCTGCAACAGGTGCCTGCAGTCCAGGCAGCCAACACAGAGAGGTATGTGGAACAGCTGTGGAATACAGTACATGCATGAAGGGCACCGTCATGCTATAAGATGCCACATAATGATCTACGGCTCGTTACACTTCCATAATCATTCTCTCTCTGCTTACAGCTTATCATTTGCAAGACTTTATATGAATTGAATGACATTAATGAGTCTCTCCTGCAGGCCGTGTTGTTTCCCCTCATTCTTAACATTACTGTCTTAACTTTCCTCTTCTCCTGACAGTATCCTAATGATTCCTTTACTGGCTTTTTATAAAATTAAGCAGAAAACAATCCGGATTAAAAAGAATGTGCCTACCTGTGTCTGTTTCTGTCTCTCTCCAGTAATGACTTTGACGTGGGTCTGGACCCAGACATTAGTCTGGCAGACATGTATCGCTGGAAGGTTTCTGCTTATGCTCCCTGCAGCTCGACGTGTACAACAGGTAAAGACATTCACAACGTGCACACATTGCAGAGTGTGGCTGGTACTGTGAGGCTCATATTGCATCTCAGGACTCCTCAGACAGAGTACCAGACCACAGCTTAAACATTGCTCTGAATCAGTGTGCAGGTAATCACAGCGACACTTCAGCGTCATTTAAGTCTCATAGCTGAAACTGATTACTAGGTTGTTTTTTGTTTGTTTGCTTGAATGTAGGAACATTCTGCATTCTGCATATAGGAGCATGCAGGAACAAAATATGATGCATTATTATTGATTGAACTATCCCTACTAGCCCGACATCAGCTGCAACATACATGTACGTTGTTGATCTTTCTCTGTGCACTCTGTTAACATTGTGTGTGTGTGTTGCCAGGTATCACCACTAGCTACGCCCTTTGTGTTCGATACGAAGGCACTGAAGTCGATGACAGTTACTGTGACTCTCTGACCAGACCTGAGCCCACACATGAGTTCTGCACTGGGAAGGAGTGTCCTCCAAGGTCCTGGTCTTACTCACTCACTGACTGGTCTGCTGAGCTAAAACCCTCAAGTCTTCAGACTTTGGCACAGTTTATTTTGCAAATGGCAAAGAAGAAAGTATGAATGTAACAAGAATGTCATGCTGGTTAGAAATCCAAAAAGCATTAACAGAAGTAGGAATGACATCTTTTAATGTGACTGAAATGGTTTTAAACACCAACTGTATCTGAACATTGTATTAAATGTCTGAGCATCTTGCTTCTTCCTCAGATGGGAGACCAGTGGTTGGAGTGAGTGCTCTCGGACCTGTGCAGAGGGTGTTCAGTATCGTACTGTGCGCTGCTGGAAGATGCTGTCGCCCGGCCTCGACTCATCCGTCTACGATTCACTTTGTCTGTCACATGATCTTCACAAACCAGCCAATAGAAAGGTTTGCCTTGGCCAGAGCTGCGGACCCCAGTGGGAGGTGTCTGAGTGGTCCGAGGTAACACACCAAGCCACGGTGCAATGTTTCTGGTGTGGGTGTGCAATGTTACTGTCAATGTTGATGGCTCATGGTTTCATGGTACCATCTTGAAGTCGTGAAATCTGCTATTGTTGTTGTCAAAGTGGCAAAAACACAATACCAAGAACTGCCAACATGCATTCTGTTGCCCAAAAGTTCATGAAAAGGATTTCATCATCAGAATGAAAATATGTCCCATACTAACTGTGCTCCCTCATCATTAACACAAACTAACTAAACATTTTGGTGGAATCTTTGCAGCAGGTGAAACATATTTTTTGTCAAGATGAGGCTATATTGGAATTGAACTCTTAACCTAAAACTGAAAAAAACACAACAATATCACAGTCATATCCCTGGCACCCATCCACTCATTTCTGAGTGGTTGCAGCCCAAATGTGTCTAGAGACTCTCCTGCTGCTCCTCAAGGGTCGAAGGGCTCTTGGCCCAACTAGAACGTTTAATCCTGGTCTCAACCTGCTGAGAGATGAAGCCAGTGACAAAACTGCACTTCCTCAAATGGCCAATTGATACTGGCTCCGAAAGCGAGTCACTCACCATTGACCTCCATATTAAAATGCCTAATTTTACCACTCCACCGACAATCCATCTTTAGAGTTAGGCTGTCTCGTCACTGCCAAGATGGCGACTCACTCTGAGCTTCACTTCACTCACACCTGCTTTTTGAGGCGTTAACTAAATGATGTACTGTGATAAAACACACCAATGCTTGTGTTCATTTTGACATTCCTCACCAAGTTGATAAAAATGTCATGGCATGAAAATGATTCAACACGCCAGCTACTGTTGTGAATCAGCCCTTAACCTTGCTCGGCCAATGCTGGCATAGAATCACCCCATTGAGACTTATCTATAAAACAGAATGATACCATCCTCTAATCAGAAGCCAGCGAATGTCACTGAGCAACTCTTGCTCCACACGGCAACCTGGAACGTGTACTGAACATCTTGAATTCAAATTGTACAGTTTTCAAACGATGCCGTTTTTTTCGTTATTGATCTTCTTTGTGTGTACATAATGTGTGTGTGTGTGTGTGTGTGTGTGCGCGCGTCAATGTTAGTGCTCGGCCCGTTGTGGCTCCCGGGGTTTCCGCACTCGGGAGGTCCGTTGTTCCATGGAAATGAGACTATGTAACAAGTCTTCTCAGCCAATAGAAAGTCAGGAATGTGAAGGCCCGCCCTGTGACAGAAGATGGACAGTTTCTGACTGGGGACCTGTGAGTTAACGACACTCACTCAGCTTCAGCATGGTGTACATACACGCACGTCAATGAAAGGGTTGCATTTCCAATTCAAAATGTCTGTGCATGTGCCAGTGCTCCGGTGTGTGTGGAGAGGGAAGGATGGTCCGTGCAGTGACCTGTCGATCATCAGGAGGGTTAGTGATGTCAGAGGAACAATGTGACCAGCTGCTGCGCCCGCTGGCCATCTATCCCTGTGGGGACAGAGATTGCACCCCCCACTGGGTGGAACAGGAATGGCAGCAGGTAAACATTTAAAGAAGCAGTCGTCAGAGCTCTTTGTTAGAGCATATTGTTGGCTGGTGGGTGAATTAGAACTTCTTTGAGACCAGCAAAATCAACTTTTCTTGTTTGTTTGTGTGTTCCAGTGTAATGCTACATGCGGGCGCGGGGTGCGTCACCGTCAGGTGGTGTGTGTTGGGCTGGAAGGTGGTGTGTTCAAAGAGTTTCCAGACAGCAGTTGTGACCAAACCAACAAACCAGAGACCAGCTCCTCCTGCTTTCAGAGACCCTGCTCCAAATGGTTCACCACATCCTGGTCTCAGGTAACTGTCCGTCCGTCCGTCCATATGTATGTCTACTTACTGATGTACAGTACATAACCACAAGGATCTCAAATCAGGGGTGGCTAATTGTATACATTCCTGCACCTTCATAAATATTCTGTGTGTGTGCGATGTCAATTAATAAAATCTTGTTTTGAAGGTCCAGCTGTATTGGACTGAGTGTCTGTAGGTCTGCTCATCAGTAATATGTAGAGGAAAATGTCCCCTCATGCTCCCTCAGTGCAGTAAGACCTGTGGGAGTGGCATCCAGGTTCGTGAAGTGAAGTGTTACCAGGGGGAGGAGCTGGTAACCAGGGGCCACAGCTGCAACTCTGCCCTCAGGCCAGAAGCCCGACAGAGCTGTGAGATCCAGAGCTGTGTGACGGAAGCACCAGGTACAGAAACAAACACTTACTGTAGCTGATGCACCGTCTCAGCAAGCTCTCTGCTCCATCAGCGGAGGATAGATAAATCATCAATGTGAGAAAGTCTGTTTCTGTTGTGGAGCATTCAAACTTCTTTCTTATATTTTCAACATATTTCATACTTTTTTGTGCTTTTTGTGTGTTTCTCCAGCAGCAGCCCCAGCAGCATCAGTGGTAGTGGTAGAAGACTCGTGCCAAGACAAACCAACAGCCAACTGTGCCCTGGTCCTAAAGGTGAAACTGTGTTCCCACTGGTACTACAGAAAGGCCTGCTGCCAGTCCTGTAAGGCACCCAGACCCTGAAGTCATTACTGTAACCTCTCAGCTCAACCACTGGTACCAAAGGTCCCATTACATTCGTATTGGTGCTACACAAAAGCCTGCTGCTAGCAATGTAACTCTTCCTCCACTGATGTCAAAGGTCAACCTGTGGTCAATGTTATACCTTTAATCTTGTTCCCTCGCACAGAGATTTTCTTTTGAAAGTAAATCTGTTTTTGTACGTTGTAGTAGTACCATCACTATCAAAGATAACCAATCACAAGGATAGTTCCTGGGGTAAAAACCCACCCACCTCTGTGTCCATCACAGCATGTAACTCCAATTCCATTTTCAAAGTGATGCCACCTAAAGGGAATGTCTGTAGTCTATCCATTCGCTCACTTCTTAAAGGCACAGTACGGATATTTTCTACTGGGATGGTATCAGGTACTCTTCCATAGTTCCATAGTCAGTGTGTTGGCTGTAGTAGCAGCACGAAGCAAAGCATGTACTTCTGTGGATGGGGGCAGCAGCAAATGATGTATTTTAGCCACCTAGACAAATCCATGTCGGTTTAAGTGTACGCTATATTTAGAATATTTCCACTGGGTTACCTTGCCTTGAGACAACTAAAGAATACATGTTTACAACGGGGACCTGAAGCCGTTAACTTTGCCAAAGCCACCAGACTATTGAAAACTGGAATTACCGCCTCGCAATCTTATGACATTTTGCAGTGTACATCCACGTCTATCCAAAATGTCGTCACATGAACCAAATTTTATCCTGGGTTTGTGTGAAATTGTCTTAATTATCACATGAATTCTTGGGTTATGGCCATAAATGTGTTTTGTGAGGTCGGAGTGACCTTTGGGCATCAAACTCTAATCAGTGAGTCCTTGAGTCCAGAGACAGAAGGACAGACAACCCAAAAACATAACTCCAAAAGAATCTCAACCATCCCATTAATGTTCCACTGAAGCCAGTTCATCTGAGAGCACATGGTAGCTTTGTTGTTACTGTGGCAACAGACTGGACTAGGGACAAAAATGCAGCTGAGCCACTTCAGACCTGGTCCAGTCCTGCTATGCATATACAGCCCAGTAGTATTACTGGTGCCATGCTGATATGTAACCATGCTCTTTTTTCGGCTACTTAAAAATATGCAATGTAACAGAGTTACTCCCAGCTTTACTGTTGCTCCTTTCTCAACACAGTAGCAACAAAGCCTGCTGCGTCTCCATTGTGACCTCCTGATCCCCGTCATGGCTCCATGTTGCCTACACCTCCTCACAGAGCTTCCTTTAGGAGACACACAAATCCAATCCTCATGCAACTTCACATCACATCACATATGCATATGCACCTAGAAACACTTCAATGTGGAAAAAAGACCAAAAAATTATACAAATTTCTGATGCTGCTGTAGACATGTCAGATGTGACACTCAACAAGGGACTCAATGAAAGTTCATCACTGGAGATGCTGTCCTGAGAACAGACACGACACAACCCACCAACAAGTGTGGCCAAACTCTCATCTATCAGACGCGCTGCATACACTTAAGTGTTGTTTACCTGTTGTTACTGTCGTCACAGAGCTGCTGTTCTTCTTCTTCCTGCTTACTGTATCTCACATAAAGAATAAAAGACCCGCTGTGTTTGACAAGCATCTGTGTCTGACTTGTGATTGCTGCTCGTCTTGGTGACACTTCAGCTGATCATTTAAAGAACATGGAGGGAGACTTTTCAACGACAAGGTAAAGACCTGAAAACCAAGCAACTCACTGTTAGTGAGGGGAAAGCTTCAATTTCAATGGTTGCCAGCTTAACCATGGTAACTCCAGCTGGGCTGTATGGGAACCAAACAGAGGATGTATAAGGTTCGAACCTCTGAGTGAAGGACCATTAACACAGGGGAACTGTGGGTAATAATTAAGCTATCATCTGAAACATGACCTGCTTAAATGTGTACGTGAGAGTGTCATAATCCACCGCTGAGCTGTTTAGAATACTCTCCTTAACATGCACATTTAACATTGTCATGGTAACAAGAGATGGCTACACACCAGTTACTCACCTCAGCTGCTCTCAAGCAGCCACTTTGGATCTCTGGCGTACAGACGGACCGTCAGAAGACCTCCAGGGGATTTCATCTTGCCATCTTGCCGAGATTCAGAGAGCATTAAGCCGTCACTGCATTGTAGCTGTAAAGGATCTCTGACAAACTTCTTTGTGTCTGCAGGAAACAACCAGCAGCTCCACAGACATGGTGAGTACCTGATGCTCAAACGTCTGCAGAGAAGGTGATCCAGGTTCTATGTAAGAGACACTGGACTTATTACGTGTTAGTGGATCCAAGTACAATACCAAAGCTGGAACTCAACGGTCAATGTTTCTACAGATGTTTCTAACAGTTCATAAATGGCAGCTTGCTTTTGTCATACGTGTCAACATTTCAATGACGATGACAAGTCACAAAAGAGTGTGGTGTTAACTGTATCCACGTTTTTGATAAATGGCAAAGAGGAAAGAAGTTTATTATATAAATTTGAAATAATAATAATGCTATCTGTCAGATTCTCTTTACCTTAGTTTATTGTGCGTTTAGTCTCTTTTTTGGTCAATGAACTCAGCTAAGAATAGGAGTGTAGGGAGAGAGAGTCTATAACCAAAACTGTATTATTTACACAATATTACCATGTGTATATTGTTACATTATCAATATTACATTTTTAAATATCACCTCTATCAACACCACTTTAGATAGAGTTTGATGCGTGCAGTGATACATGTATTCAGATTACTAGTTCTTACATGTCATACATCTATTGCATGTATTGTTGACTCAATTCATATCATTGTAAGTTTTGTATGTTGTTATAGGGTCAATACATTCTAATGCTATTGGATCATGTTCTTGCAGTCATACCGTACCAAGTTCATACCAATCAAACCAACACGATGAAAACACAAGAAGTCGGATACTTAACTTTAGTAAAAGTACCTGCACAGCATTACGAGTGAAAGTCTTACATTCAAAGTGGTACTGAAGTAAATGTACAGAATTATTAGAGTTACCTGTTCTGAGATCTGATCTTATTATAACTGACATTATTAGATGTTTACGGCATCAGTGTGTACGTAGCGTTGTACTGTTAGCTGCTCAAGGTGGACTCGAGTCTGAACTACTTTATATATAATTAGGTAGTTTTGTCCGGTGGTTTCCAACCTAGTGGTCGGGCCCCTCCAAAGGGTCACCAGATAAATCTGAGGTTATTGAGATTATTAATGAGAGAAAAACACACACAGCTAGTTAAATGAAATATCTGAGAAGGACCCAGGACAATGTATTTCTGGTGGAACTAACAACTCGGACATCTGAAACATGAAAGGTCTTTGAACGTTGCATGATACGTTACATGGTTTATTAACAAGTATAAGAAGGGAAGGGTGGTGGATGGGTCAAACAAACAGGACTGTAACCTAGGAGACCGCTGTTCATGTCATGTGTGAAACCAAAAGTTAACACTGACTTTACGCTTGTTACATAATGTCATTATATTTGTTACGTAACACTATTTAATAAAGTCTGCTCAGGGCAGTTGTTATTTTTAATGTAGTTATGTTGTTGTCTTACAGATGTTGTAATATTTGAACACAATGGTTTGCAGAAACAGAGCCAACATTTGTTCTGTCCATTGTCCTCTTTGGTAAGGATCTTCATGGCATGGAAAACCATCTGTATATAAAGAAAATCTGTAATATCCCACTTAGTCTAGTTTAGTTTGATAGTTAGAAATATATGTTACTATATCAATGCTTTTTAATGACTTATTGTTAATCCATGGCACACATCTTGTTACGTAAATTAAATATTTCACTTTATCTGTCTATCTATCTATTTGTTGGAAGTTTGTGCAGCACTTTGACTAATACTGTTATTGTTTATTTTCTAATTACCGAGTGAAAAGGATATCTTGACACACACAAATGTAATGTGATGATGCCACTGCTCACTCTGCCACATACTGGATGTCCCTCATTTCCTTACTGGGACTATTTGCCTGAAGAGGACCTGGTTAATTGAAACATCGGCAACACAATTAACGGGAGCTGTGTGGAATGTCCTCCTTGTGTTGGAATTTTTCGTATCTTTTACATCCAGCACCTACAGCACTAGAGTTCTGTGGATGTGCATATACTCTCTGCATATGCTCTAGCGTTTTGTTAGGGATCACATCGTAAACGGTGGGGAAACGCTGGTTTTGTTAAGGCCGTAGCCACCACTGAGGCAAGGACTCAAAAGCACGACTCAAGACCAGGACAGTTCCAGACTGTTCCACAGGTTCAGTACACAGGTAGGCAGTCAGCACAGGCACACAAATCAAAAACAGGTGAGGCAGTCAAGGAAAAGCAGAGACAAATACCAGGTAACTGAGAACACAGGGGAGAAATGCTGGAACATTAGACACGACCGTACTCATGCGGACTGGCACAGACAAAGAGGAGCACTCACACTAAATACTCTAGGGGGGGGGGGGGGGGGGGGGGGG